GAAATTCCCTTGGCCGCCTCTCCCATAAACATTTGTTTTTTCTCTTGGAACCAAACTGGGATTTCCAGCTCTGGGATTTTCCTCAGCCTCGGGACAGATCCATAATAACCAGGATCCCGCCAAATCCCAGGGGTTAAAATCACGGGTTAAGTCTCCAAAATCCCCTGAGTGGCTTAAAAATAATAAGATTATGGGGAAATTGTGCCATGATCTTGCTTCTGTTCAGTTCCTGGGTGTCAGGCCTGTGGCTCCGGCCCCTCCCTCGCACCGAGCGAGGATTGGGAATTTTCAAACGGAGCTGCTCCCTCTGGAGCACCTGGGAATTTGGGAATTGTGCCCTTCACTCCAAGCATGGGACGAGAGCTGCGGGTTTGTCACACTGGTGATGCCATCCCAGATTTTGGGGTGTTTTTTTATTTTTTTTTTGCTGTGTTTATTGCGGGAATGTTTGTAGGATTTGGGAGCGGGATGGCGGAGATCCGTAATAACCAGGAGGCTGCCAGATCCCAGTGGGAAATAACGGGTTAAAATCCACTGAGTGGCTTAAAAATAATCTTATGGGAAAATAAATTCCACAAATCCCAGATGAAACGGGCAGGGAGCGTCAGGGACGGTGGGGGCAGAGCCTGGGTTTTGTGGTGCTGCTTTTAAACTCGGGATTAAATCCCAGTCTAAAGCTGCTGTTCATCCCTCAGAGAAACCAGGAGTCCTGGAAAAGGAATTAATCTGGGAATTCCAGCTCGGCCCAGTGTTCTGAGATGTGTTTTCCCTGGAATTTCTGCCAATGGAGGAAATATTGAGCAAACCTTTGGGATCCTCTGTGCCTCCAGCCCCGATCCCCCTTTGGCTCTTTCCCTTTCCAAGGATTTGGGAAGCTGTGGCATTTCCCGAGCTGCTGTTTCCATGGGAACTGCCGAGTTCCCGGTTTTAGGGGATTTGCCAGGAGGATCCCGGTGCCCACGAGGAATTTGTGCCATCCCTCACCTTCCCTGACTCCCCTGCTGGGAAAGCATCCCCAGGGATATTCTGTGGGAATTCCCTCTCCAGTCTCATCCTTGCACTTTGTGCTGCTCCAAGACTTTTTTTTGCACCTTTTCCTCAATTTTTTTCCCCTCTTCTGGGGCTTTTCCCATCCTACCAGAATTGGATTTTTCATCCCTGGTGGATGTCCCAAGCTGCTTCAGGCTCTGAAGGATGTTGGGAATGTGATCCCTAATCCCACCCCAGGGGATTTTTTTGGGACATCTCCATGGGGCTGCTCGAGCCTCTGGAAAAACAGGAAATCAGCTTCAATCCTGGTTTTTGAGGCTCCAGGGCTAAGGAAGTGAACTGAAATTCCCTTCAATTCCAGCCCCATTAGGACAGAGCTCTGGGAGTTATCCTGCTCTCCACTGAGGGATTTCCGGGGCATTAATCCCATGGGGAAATAATCTGGGCTGGAGGGGCTGAGGGAGGATGGGAACATCCCTGGAAATCCGGGAACATCCCTGGGAATCCGAGCCCTGGGCAGGAACTTCTTCCCTCCCCTGTCCCGTTCTCCATCCCAAGCAAAACTCTCTTTTTTCCCTTTCCCTTTCCTTTTTTTTCCTCTTTCTTTTTCTTTTTTTTCCCTCCCTCCTTTTCCCTCCCTCTTTTCCTTTCCCCTCCAAACATCCGTGAGCACAAAGCTCTTGGAAAATCCAAACATCTCCTCTGCCACCCTAAAACCCCCAAATTCCAGCTCTGGGGTCACAGGGATGGGGACAGCAGTGGCTCTGCCTGGATTTAAGGAATTTAGGACCAGATTTCAGCTCCAGGGACAATTCTCCTGCTGGTGATTATTTAGCCATTAAAAAAGCACTTTTAGATCAGTTAGGAGATGGAAAAAAATGAATTTTTTGGGGACGGGATGAGCAGAGCTCCTGATCAAAGGTCCAGGGAGCTCCGTGGAGCCTTTGAACAGTTCCAAATCCACAGGCTCTGATTTTTTGGGACTTTAAAGGGAAAAAAAAAAATCCTCAAATAAAGGAAATTTATGCAACTGCAGTCACAGGAGGTTTGGGAATAGCACAGGAGCCCTGTTTATAGGGAATTTCAATGGATCCCCTCACGCCACAGAAATATTGGGAGTGGGATCTGGCCCAGGTTTGGGTTTTTGACCAGGATTTGGGTCTTGGCTCTGTGGGGTTGGATTATCCCCGAGCTTCCAGTCAGGGAAAAGCATCCAAAGATGGGAAAAACCAGGAAGAAATCATGGAAGGGAGGGAGAAATTAAAGCAACATTGGAATTTCAGCAATGGAAAAATCCCATCAGGAGCTTCTCCTGCTTCGTTCCCAGGGTGACTGGGATTTTTATTTCATTTATTTCTCGGGTTTTCTACATTTATTTCCATTTTGAACAAGTGGATTTCCAAGCTTTCCTTGTTGGTTTCTAGCTCCGAGGTGTTCCCAGCTCTGAGTTAAATTTGATTTAATGAATTAATTTTAAAAATTAAATTATATTTCTTTTCCAATTAAAGCCCCTCTAAAATAAGAATTCGGGATCAGATTTCAAGGAACTGCAAAATCCCACTGATTTTTGCCTTTTTATTTTTTTTTTTCATCCGGATGAATAAGAAAGTGCAAAACCAATTTGAGACTGAAGCTCTGATCTGCTGCAATAAATTTTATCCTGAACGGATAAAATCCCAGATAAAATATTCCTAAGGAATAAACATGGAGGGTTTTTCATCCAGGAATTGCTGTTCTCAGAAATAATTCAACGTCTGTGCCTCTCTCTGCCTCCCCCAGGTGTGGGTTTGGAAGCACAAAGGTTTATTCACATCCAGATGTTTCCAATTATTTTCCCTAGAAACAGTTCTCTCGTTCCTGCTTAATTTGTGGAATTATTCCATCTTTTTTGTGGGATTTTTAATTGTCCTGCCGGCAGCAAACAGCAACTATGGGCCTATTGTGCGCTGGTGCAAACCACCACTTCCTACTTAGATTAATTAATTGTCGGTTAATTGAGCACTGGCGGATCCTGTCAGGAATATGGGGGGATTTTGGAGACTGGAGACTTCCAGCTGGGAACCCTTTCCTTCTTTTTCATGTCCTCTGGATCCTGAATCCCAACATTCCCTTCCTTGGCCCCACCAGCTTGGCTCTGTTTTGTCTTTGTCCATCGGGATGTGAAATTCGTCATTCCTTGAGGTGTGGGATGAAATCTGGCATTCCTTGGGGTGTGGAAATGAGAGGAGCTCATTCCCATCAGGATGTGGGTCTGAGTGGAATCTGTCATTCCTGGAGTTTTGGGAATGGGGTTGGAATGAGAGGACCTCATTCCCATCAGGATGTGAATCGTGGAGTGAAATCTGTCATTCCTGGAGATTTGGGAATGGGGTTGGAATGAGAACCAGATTCTCATCTCAGAGTGGAATCTGTCCCTTCTGGAGATGTGGGAATGAGGTTGGAATGAGAACCTCATTCCCATCAGGATGTGGATCTCAGAGCGGAATCCGCCATTCCTGGAGTTTTGGGAATGGGGTTGGAATTGTCAGAACTTAATTCCCATCAGGATGTGGATCTGAGTGGAATCTGTCATTCCTGGAGTTTTGGGAATGGGATTGGAATGAGAACCAGATTCTCATCTCAGAGTGGAGATTTGGGAATGGGGTTGGAATTGTCAGAACTTCATTCCCATCAGGATGTGGATTTGAGTGGGAACTGTCATTCCTTGAGATGTGGGAATGGGGCTGGAATGAGAGGACATCATTCCCATCAGGATGTGGATCTCAGAGTGGAATCTGTCAGAACCTCATTCCCATCAGGATGTGGATCTGAGTGGAATCTATCATTCCTGGAGTTTTGGGAATGGGATTGGAATGAGAACCTCATTCCCATCAGGATGTGGATCTCAGAGTGGAATCTGTCATCCCTTGGGATTCGGGAATGGGGTTGGAATGAGAGAACCTCCTTCCCACAGCTCCAGAGGGAAACAAGGAGAGCAGAGTTGGAGCACGGCACCGGGCGCTGTCCTGGTGCTGCCCTTGAGCTGCTCTCTTGCTGTGGGGCGATTCCCTGCCGAAACTTGGGATTTGGAGCTGGGAACGGCCCGGGAGAAGGGGATTGGGTGGGAGGAGGGTTGGGACGTGCCGGGTGTCCCCTGCCGAGGCTGTGCTGTCCTTAACCCGCTGCCACCTGGTTCGAGCACGTCAGCATGCTGGTGATCCTGCTCAACTGCGTCACCCTGGGCATGTTCCAGCCCTGCGAGGACGTGGAGTGCCAGTCGGAGCGCTGCACCATCCTGGAGGTGAGGAGCCAGCAGATGCCTGGGATTTCTGGGGTGCATCTGTGGGGTGGCTGCTTTTTGTGGCCATTTTCCTCGGGAAAAGCTTTCCCACAGGGATGGGGTTTCCACGAAGCCTGGCTTGGGGTGAGGCCTAAAGGCTGATGTGGATCTGGCCCAGCCAGGTCCCTTCTCTCCGTCCTTAACAAGGCTCAGAAGTGGGAAGCCAGATGCCACTGGATTCCTTGGACACCACAAAACTCATGGGCTCCATCCCTGTCCCACCTGTGGACAGGGCTGGGAGCACCCATGGAAGGCGTCCCCATGGCAGGGTGGCACTGGATGACCTTGAAGGTCCTTTCCAACCCAAACCATTCCAGGATTCCATGGTGGGGAATCTCCCTCGCACTCCTTGGCTCCATCCCAGCCAGCTCCTGCTGGGATTGCTCCGTGCCAGGTGGTACCAGGGCTGCCTGTGCCACTCCTTCCCCTTCTCCATGAGGAAACGGCGCGGGATGAGCCCGTCCCTGCTCCCCTCCAAAGTGGGAGGGGGAATTTGGGAATTCTCCCCCATCCAGACGTCCATCCCTGCGGCCACCCCGAGCTCAGGGACATCAGCCTGTCCCCTCGTCCCTCCTGGCGTCCCCTCGCTGCCGTCTGCCCTCTGGAGCAGCTTTGGAAGCACATCCTGGGGCATCTGCTGCGTGGGCAGCTCCTTGGCTCGGCACATTCCTCAGGCTGGGAACGGCTTCCCTCATTCCCAACCCCAAAGCACGGCTGTGTTCAGCTCCTTTGGATCCCACATCCCTTGGAATGTCCCACTGGGATCCTCTGTGGAATCCCAAGCTGGCTGCAAGGGACCTTAAAGCCCATCCATTCCATCCCTATCCACACCTTCCCTATCCCAGGTTGTTCCAAGCCCCGTGCAACCTGGCCTTGGAAATTTCCTGACAGATTTTAGGCAGGAAAGGGCTGGCAAATCCCCATTTTCCCTCCCCTGTCCCAGCCTGGAAGCTGGAATGTGAGGTGGAAAAGCCTGAACTCCATTATGGAGAAGTTAGCATGTTAGTAATTAAATGAACTGGAATTATGGAGCAAAATATCTGTGTAGTTCATTAAGGGAAAGTTGGTTAATTGAGCCAAGTCCCTCTCCAGCTCTCCTGGAGCCCCTTCAGGCCCTGGAAAGGGCTCTGAGGTTTCCCTGGAGCCTTCTCCTCTCCAGGTGAACATTCCCAGCTCTGCCAGCCCAGCTCCAGAGGGGCTCCAGCCCTGTGATTCCCTCACGTCTTATCAGGGGATGAACAAAAGCTGGGGGCACTTCCCAAGCCCTGGAATGAGCCAGGAGCTGTGCCAGGGGCTGCCAGCACCCCGCAGGTTTGATTTTGGGGTGGGAAGTGGCACTTTGGTGACGGGAACACGGAATGTCCCCGTTCTGGGAGTACTCAGGACTGACTGAAATCCTCTTTTCCCTTTCCCAGGCATTTGATGACTTCATTTTTGCCTTCTTTGCCGTGGAAATGGTCATCAAGATGGTGGCCCTGGGCATCTTCGGGCAGAAGTGTTACCTTGGAGACACCTGGAATCGCCTGGACTTCTTCATCGTCATGGCAGGGTCAGCAGCCTCCTCATCCCTTCACCCTGAGGGCAGGAGAATCCCAAATCCAGCCTTGTCCTGCCCGGCTCTCACAATGGGAGGCAGAATCTCCCAAATCTGATTTTTTTTTTTATTTTTTTTTAAATCCTCACCCCAAAACCACGCTGGGTTGTGAATATCAGGCAGAGCTGTGGGGGTGTGGAGCAATCCTTTAATCCCAACACATCCTGAGCTGATCCAGAGTGTCCCGGTGCTGCTGCCTCCAAAAAAATCAGCTCAGCCCCACTCCTGCCCCGTGCCAGCAGCAGAGTGAGGCAGGGACGGGGCAAACAAGGAGAACTCAGCCCAAAAACCCCGTTGGGAATCTCAGTGGGAAAAGCTGGCTGGGAGTTCACCCAAATTCCGAACTCCTCCTGGTTTTACAGCTTCATTCCCTCTCCCCCAGCTGCTGCTTTGTGCAGGATGTGTTAATAAACAGCTCCGAGGATGATCCCACTGCTTTTGACACCACTTCCCTCACCCCCACGGGGAATAACTGAGTGGAGTAAAAGCTTGGCAAAGCTCAAACTTTTCTTTTATTTTTTTTTTTTCTCGCCAGTAAATAAACAGCTTTGGAAAGCCCAGGCTCTCCTACCTGCTCGGTACATCCCGGGAAGGGATGGAAAGCTTTAATTACTGTCTGGCCTGTGAATTCCTGCGTTCCTAATGACCAGCCCGGGGTTAATTAAAACATCCTTGGAATATGTTGGGGTGTTTTTCCCTTTCCATTAGTGCTGTGCCATCTTCCCTGCGCTAATGGGGTTTTGTTGTGCTCCGTGTTATTTGTCTGGAATACAATTAGGAATGGTTTTAGTGCTCTGAATAAAACATGAGCTCTCCTGAGCGGAGCTTCCTTGGAACTCGGGTGTAGTTCCAGCCCGAGAAGGAACATCAGGGACAGCAAAAAAACCCTTTATTATTAATTATTTTTACCTTAATTATGTTTTCCTCTAAAGCTGCTGCGGTGTTTAAGGGAGGAGTAGTAGGGGAAGAGCAGGGAAAACTCAGGATCAGGATTCTGGTCAAGGAGCTGAGGGTGTTTTTCCACGTTGGATCTGTGGGATGAGCAGAAAATCCCCAAATCCTCAGAGCTCCCCCAAACCCAGGATTGGGGCACCCCATGGAGGCAGAAGGGCTGATCCCTCTGCTCATCCTCAGGGGCAGCTTCAGCACTGGGAATTTTGCTGTTGGAATGATGGGGAAAGTGGTTGGTGAGGGCATTTGGGAGTTTTCCAAGGTTTTTCCCCACCTTCCATGGCTGGAATGTGTTTGGGGAGGATGGAAACAGCAGGAGACCCCGCTGGAGGTGTGGCATTGCCCAAGCTGGGGATGAGGAGAAGAAATTTCCCCTCTTTCAGTGTGAACCCATTCCCCCTTGACCCACCACCACAATCCCAGCTGGAGTTTCTCTCTCCAGCTTCCTTGGAGGTTTCTTCACATCCTGGAAGGAAAATCCTGCAGTCCAAAGTGTTCCCTGTGCTGGCAGTAAAGGCTGGAAGGAACCTTAAAGCTCATCCCATTCCACCCCTGCTGTCAGCGCTCAGGAACACACAAAATCCCGGGATATGATCATCTGCAGGGGCTTTCATTGGAGAGCTCTGGGAATCAGGGCTACAGACCCAAATCTGACCCAAACATGGCTTTTTAGCTGAATTTATTTTATATAACTTACATATTAATTATTAAACTTATATTGTTCTATTGTATACATTGACTTTATTCAAGCACGAGTTTCTCGTGATCTTTCTCAAGCCCCTGACCACAGTTTCTCATGATTATTCTTACAATTAAACAGTAATTTTATTTAATTACTAACCAATCATCACATCTAACAATTATATCACTTATCATATACTGGTTACAGGTGCAGTTCTAGCAAGCACAAGGCCAACACTTTCCCAGGGTATTTTCC